GTTCCCCCAACTTCCCCTAAATGTGTGCTAATATGATCATCAACATGTTGTTTATCCAAATCCAGGGCCAATTAATCGATAACCTGTCACGTTTTCCAGTGGTGATGCGCTAACGTTCGTGGTTCTTGCAGCCAATAAGGGTGTTTCATAGTGCGATTCAGCCGCATTATCGACTTTAATGCCATAAACCGCCACGGAACATACGATTTGCAGCTCCCTGGCGTGATAGCTGCCAGTAGGGCTCCGGAGTCGGAGTCATGAAGTCGGTCGGAGTTGACAGTTCTGACCTGAGTCGTCGAGTCGGAGTCAGAGTAGATTTTAAAAGCCTGGAGTCTGAGTCAGTCACCGAAATTCGATCCCCTCCGCATACCTTTCAGGGTTCCGTAGTCGGAGTTGTAGTCGGTCGGAATCGACAGTTCTGACCAGAGTCAGTGTCACAGTCGATTTTGAAAGCCAGAGTCAGAGTCGGAGTCACCAAAAAACCATTGCCTCCGCAGACCTGCTAGGGCTGTGGAGTCGGAGTCAGTCAGAGCCGACATTTGAAATCAGTCAGAGTTGATTTTTGAAAGTCTGAGTCAGAGTCGGAGTCATCAAGAAACCCATTGACGATCCGCAGTACCATGCAGTAAGGGCGCTGCCGATTGATGCCCCTGAATTGCCTATGAATTGAATGAATAGATGACAATTAATTATGCAGGTACCTTCTATCATTTATCCCCTGCCACTTGGAGGACTTACTTTCAGTAGAAAAAGACGCATTATTTTGTTTGTTTATTTATTGACAAATATTTTTTGAGCAGTATAGGGATACAGGCACAAAACACAAGGATAGCACCTCGCTGGTGCAAATAATTGCTAGGTAGATGTTGAGATGTGTTGCCATTGAAGAATCTACTGATTTTCCTGGCGGCTCTCGTTTTCAAGTAACTACCTACTGGTCGTGTAAGATCTCTTGATTGCTCACCGTCTGGCGTCTTCAAAGGTTTTCTGAAAGCTAATCAAACGTTACCATGACTGCTTTTTGATTGCATGGCGCTTGCTGGTTCTGCTTAATTGGTGGTTCTTGCGTCTGATCCTGTTGCAGGTTGCTTCATGTTCCATCACATCACATTAAATTTCTAATGGAACAGACACTTCTACCTTTTATTTCACTATCAGTCGACTTGCTTTTACCCCTGTGGCCTGCTCGCCCTTTTATTTCCACGCTGGAATCTATCAATTGTTGAAAAAGCCTCAGATAAAAAAGCAAGAGAAGTATGTCAAGTTAAATAATTGAGACGGTCCAAGAAAACCAGAAAAAAAAATCAAAAAGCCTGTCCATCTCACTTCCCTCATTTCATAACAAAAACCAGGCAGCAAAACATGCGAAAGAGTCCTTAGCAACGCCCTAGCAACGCATTTGTCTTAAGTGCGCAATATGTGTCACATCTGGAAAATTTAGTAGCTACTTGATTATTCAACTAGAATTGGACTATATCAGCTAGGCTTTTATATAAAAATAAGTGTTTGCTTATCGAATTTATAGCAACTGGTTGCTTAACTTCGAAATAATGATTTATTCCAAAAAAAGCTGTTTGCGACATATTTGTAAAGAAACAACGGAAATAGCTTTGACTCGTGCGCTATTCTAGTACATTTTTGGTAGAAAACTTCGTCCAACCTTATGTTTTAGGGCCTTGCTCCCACCTATCATGGAACATGTTGTTCGACGATGTACAGGGGTCAAGGTCAGGGCCAAGGTCAACATAGGTCATCTAAGATAATTGCGTTTTAGGCAAGCTGAATTTACTTTTTGTGAAGTTTTTTGACTGCATTTTTGGTAAAAGCTTCTCAGATCATGATTTCATGAGATATGGACCCAAAAACAATCGGTGCACACATCAGTACACACACAGACATACAAACAATATAATTGACCTTGACCTAACTTGACCTGAAATGACCTCAGCAGCAAAATTCTGGTCGGATAGTGTGACAAAGAGGTTCTAGCTGGCTTGGCACCAGAAAACAGCATCGTCATCGGTATTTGATAAGCAGCGCACTTGATATCCAACGGTGACCCAAAACAGCAACATTTTTTAGTTTGACCTGACCTGGAAGGTCAATGACTGACCTGAGAAGATAAAACTGGGTATCATTGGATTCCTCTCTTCCCAAAGAATCTTTTTGGTCTTTACTGCTAAGCTCTATCTCCAACAGGAACGAAATGGCGCGGGGGGGGGGGTGGCACCCCCCCCCCCCATGTGCGTTCTAGGATGGGAAAATGGCATGTGCGGGCGAGGGTTAACTATTAACGGCCATTTGATGACGTCATTTGCATTTTGAACGCCTGTCACGCATGTGAAGTTTCACTTGATTTACGAATAAGCTAATCAGACACTTGTTATTGTATGAGCCGCTTTATATTTGAGAGCAAATACCTATATTTGCTGCCAAATTTCCCCCACATTGACATGAAGTAAATCCTTCATTACGTCACAGATCCGATCTAAATGACGTCACGATGAAATATAAAAGTCGCAATATCTCAAAAAGTATACAATGAAAACGCGTAAAAACTTCCAGAATTCGTCACAATATCATGAGTAACATTTCCGAATCCTAAATGGTACTTTGTTTAAGGTGGGATAGTCCCTTTAAATTGAACTTTTTGAACCAAACACGTACACATATGATAAAATGAATGTCACCATCGTGTTCAGCGCCCACAATTACCCATAAAACATGTGTCACAGGCTGCGAAAATCAGTTTTCATTTTCGGGGATATGTGCCTACCCGGTTGACCGGACCTTAACCCTGACATATGCTTGACTGACCCAGTGGCGGCGGAAGCAGGGGGGCAAGGGGGGCAGCTGCACCCTAAAGCTATGGAAAGGGGCGCCTCGAAAATCTGTAGAGGAGGCAGTAAGTTAAGAGGTGCGGCAGCCATAAAGCTGAGCAGTGCGAGGCGACACCGCAACTGATAAAGGCACTTGTGACACGAAGAGGGTGGCAATGACGTGGGAAAAGTATCTTTTGATATGCTGAAGAGTGGAGGGCATCCTTATCTGAAACAAAGGCAGATGCTGCCGACCCTGTCGAATATAATCTTGCCAGGCGATAAAGGCTAGGAGGGCGCAGCTACTCGAGAAGCGCGCCATGCGGAAGAGGGGCGCCTGCGTGCGAAAGAGGGGCGCCTGTGTGTGGGACGAAAAAGAAACATTTATGGAGACGTCTTTGAAGGCGATAGCCTCCGAACGCCAACACGAACATATGAGGGCTTATAGCGTTGCAGGCTCCATGCGACAAAAAGGGGCGCCTGATGGCCGATATGCCAGAGGAAATTAGTTTGTGTAACATTTATCGGGGGCGGTTTGCCGTTTACAACATATGAATGTTAAGGGAGGTCCGAGATTGGGGCCTGTAAAATTGCACTGTCCGTATGGGCGGTTACACCCCTAGTGCTAGGGCGTATTTTGCGTTTTTTTTTTTTACTGGGGAGATGATTATGACCAGGAATGGCACTCTGCAAACTTCTATGGGCGCCTGTATAGGGGCGAAACTGATTTTCCAGTGCAGGGACGGCCATCGGCATGGTAAGGGGCGCCCAGCGGGAAGGGGCGCTTCAATATCGTTTGCACCCCTATCCTAGAATACCTTCCGCCGCCACTGGACTGACCCCTACATGGAGCTGACACTCTTGTAGGCCTTATATGAAGGGTTGTACACCGTTTTAATACAGTTTATGATGAGAGGCGCCCAATCCGAAGCCCTGAAGTCCGTGCTACTACTTCACGCCAAAATTTGGCCCGATTTCAGGTGTTTGACCTGACCTTGACCCGACTCGTGACCTCAAAATTCAACTTTAAAGTACTCATCTGAAGCGTCTCGTCGCATTCTTTCGTTTGCCGCCTCGCTGCGCCTATTGGTTCTCGAGTTATCGGCTGGCAGGGGCGGATCCAGAAAATCTCCAAGGGAGGAGCCATTAGAAACCAGGAGGCCCCCATAATCCCACCTGTTGGAGGCCCCATCTTCCCACTTGTTGCCCCCCCTCCAAAAAAAAAAAAAACTGCGTCTATTGAGCTTATCTAGCTGTTCAGGCAACATCTCAACATGAATAAACGAATTATGAAATAAATGAACGAATAAAGTACCGTTACCAGTAAACGAGCAGTTTTTTTTAATGCAATACCGTCGACAGTCAGATGGGTACACCGCATCCACGGTAAGTAGCACAAAGACTGAGGCTGTAGGTGCTTGCTTACTGTTTGCTTTTGGAATTCGTATTTCGTATTTCGTATTTAGAATCACGACATTAATCAAACTACTAATATATCATTTGTTATGAATACTGTTACACTACGTTTACCACCTAACTCAGGTGGTATTTCGATTGTCAGTTTTAATTAAGTTCGTTCTACAATGAATGTTTTTTATTCTCCATCTGTCCAGGCTCATTGCCAGGCCAATCGACTTGGCTGAAAGAACAGTAGCTCTCATATTAGTTCACATATGTATTGTACAGACATTAATTACTGCAGCTGGGCTCTTGCCTGCTGATGACTGCCAAGAAATAGACAACAAATGAATTATTTCGAATCTCACAGGACAATCACCTATGCATGGCCTATCACCCCTCATACACCTATCCTCGTTTCACGACAACCTCAAAGCCGAAGTGCTTTGGCAGGCGAATTGGCAGGCACACAGCACGCCACAGCACGCAAGGTGTGAGTAATCATGAGCGGACTCATCGCTGAGGGTTATCAGCTGCTAAGTAACTAAGGGTAGCATGGCACCACGCCAAACATCTCTGGAAAACGACAAATCCACGATATAAAAATACATACACTGTATGGTGCCTATCAAAAGTTTCTCCTGAGTTCCTACAGGCTAAGAACATATGTCCTGCAGTGCGAGTGCGGTATCGTATCGGCGACCGGAGTTCGCCGTTCGGTGCTCACTCACTTCATACCGCTCACAAACGATCAACTGCGACTGATGGCTGACACGACTGATACTACATTGTAAGGCGAAGTCGCTTGGCCGAAGAAGTCGCAAACTGCGTCACAATGTCTGAGACGGCCGGTACAAGGTCCGGGTGCACCCGCATCAGTGCCAGTCCCGTCAGTCGCTCCTCCGTCATCGTGCTTCTCAGCCACGTTTTCAAGGAGCGAAGCGTGGAGAAGGACCTCTCCGCCTCTGCGGAGGTCACAGGCAGCGTGACCAGGATTGTGATCATCTTGGAGATGATTGGGAACGGATCTGTGGAGCCAAGAGCACTCAGCAGAGTGGTGGGCTTCTCGCCCGTTTCCTGACGCCACATGTGCTGCCACGTCCTCACCTCGCTCTCCGCCTCTGCTACTGAGCAATCCAACAGGTCCTGGTAGGTCTGGACGAACTCAGCCACCCAAGACGCGTCACCCTCCTCTGAACTAGGGACCAGACGAATGGCCGAGGCCGCTTTCTGTACGTGCTTTGAGAATCGTCTTTCCAACTGTTCCACGATTTCGTCCAGGAGTGGTATGTATGATGCAACACGGTAAAACTCCTCGGGAGTTTGTAGCGGCGCGCCCTGTGGACGTTTTTTGTGCGTGCTCACCCTTACTTCGATAGCATGTCGCGTCATAACTGACGTATTCCTATCGAATACTTCTCGGAAGGCTTCGTCCACGTTTGCGCGCTTCTCCGGCAGCTCTGAGCGAGCCACTTCGATCAGGTGGGTAGCCTGTGCCAGATCCTGACCTCTGCCCTGCATCTTAACTGAAAGAGGCCGCATGACCGACATGACATCAGCGGTAGCGAACAGAGTCACAACAAACTCCACGCTCGTGACAGCAGTCAACAGTGCTGCCGACCCACGTCGAGTTGCCGGGTCGTCCCAGTCTGACATGGCAGCAAGGGCCTCGACTACGGCATCGTACAGCTCGATGAACGACATCAGAGCATCATGTCGCTCGACCCATCGTGTTTCACACAGCTTTACCAGTCTAGATCTGTTGCCTTTTGTTTCACAAAATTTCGCGGCAGCTTTCAGAGCGAATGACCGTTTTGGAGTGTCGAAGAAGTTTGCGACTTCTTTTATGTTGCCATACATGTTCCTAACTGTTCCCACCCTGCTGGCGGAGACCACGGCTAGATTTAGACTGTGGGAGGCACAGTGGGTATAGGCGGCCAGAGGGTGTTTTTCCTGCACCACAGCAGAAGCGCCTATGGTTTGTGACGACATACTCGCGGCGCCGTCATAGCCCTGACCCACACACCTGTCCATGCTGAACCCCACTTCCTCACAAGTTTTGAGAATCAAGTTTCCCACATGCCCGGACAACTTCGGCTCCGTCAGCGCAGACCGAAAATCTACGGCACCCTGTAGCTGTTTTTCCAAGTTTTCTCCGTGTGCAGCCTCTAGCGCGTCAACAAAGGCCACGAAATCCTCCCTTACCCTGCCCTCGTGGACGTAGCGCACACACAGACACATTTGCTCTTTTGAAGACACATCCCTCGTTTCACCTACCATGACAGCAAAAGCGGCACTGGCGTTGGCACGTTTTACGATTTCCTGTTGTATCATGCTGCCGATGGTGGACACTAGGTTGTTTTGAACAGTTTTACTCGTGTAAGTGGCGTTACCGGGAGATGATTTCAGAAAGTCTCGAAGACTCTCATCTCCAGCCTCGGCTCTGAATCGAATCAAGCCTCGGAACACACCATCCCTGACATCATCATCTCCTGGGTCTATGCGGCCGTCATCCCTGTGACCTCGCAGAGGAAGGCCGTTTCGTCCACAGAATATGACAGTTTTTGCTACGGATGATACAGCGGCCCTGTTCTTCTGCACTTCTACAAACCTCTGCGAGTTTACCTGGTTGTCAACTGATCGGCTTGGCTCCTCGACAGAGCGAACAAACAGCTGAGACGCTTCTACACACCCCTGGTGGTAGCCTAGCCGCTGGTGCCGCGTCAGCACACCGTCCGTCTCTCCCTTTAGTTTGGCAAATGCCGTCAGCGGAGCCGCAAGCAGCACACCAGGTTTCTGACCACATTTGCTACTACCCACAGATTCGGAACGATGGAAGAGTACACAATACCGGCAGTAGAACCCCCCTGCTTTTTTAGAATACGCCAGCCAGGGGAACTCGTCTATATGTTTCTCGGTTAGGTGCCTTTTTATCTCTTTCCCCTGTTTGGTATGGACCGAAAAGGGCGGCTTCCAGCCAGCCGGCGGCCTCCACTTGGTTTTACATATGTACACACGATCCTCGTTTGTGCATGACTCGGAGTCGGCATAGTTGAGGATGTCATAAGATGGTGTCAGCAAGGGACGACTGGATGGCTCTGCAGTGTCACCACCAGCAGCACAGGCTGGCATAGGACTGACTTGGACAGGAAGAGTAGCTGTGCCGGTCGCATCGTCGCTGAAGGGTGGTGACAGGTCTGGGCCGGAGGACGCGCCGCCAGCAGGGTCTGGGCCGGAGGACGCGCCGTCAGCAGGGTCGGCGTCGGATGACGCGCCGCCAGCAGGCTCTGCTCTGGACCGGAGGACGCACCGCCAGCAGTATCGGCATCGGAGGACGCACCGCCAGCAGGCTCTGGACCGGAGGACTGGGCGGAGGAAGCGCCGCCAGCAGGGTCGGCGTCGGAGGACTGGACAGTCGTTCTGAGGATACAGGGACGACTTGGTCACAAAGACGGATTTAGCGGAATATTGTAGAGAGACTCAGAGACATATGACGATTGGGGAGTGAGAACGGATATTTGACACGAGCCATATTGTGCGAGCAAGTCAGCCAAAGCTCCATTTGACATCTGAGACGTAGACCTACCTGGCAGTGAACTCTGGGGCGGATGACTGGATAGAGGACGCGCCGCCAGCAGGGTCTGGGCCGGAGGACGCGTCGCCAGCAGGGTCTGGGCCGGAGGACGCGCCGCCAGCAGGGTCGGCGTCGGAGGACGCGCCGCCAGCAGGGTCTGGGCCGGAGGACGCACCGCCAGCAGGCTCTGGACCGGAGGACTGGACGGAGGCAGCGCGGCCAGCAGGGTCGGCGTCGGAGGACTGGACAGTCGTTCTGAGGATACAGGAACGACTTGGTCACAAGGACGCATTTACCGGATATTGTAGAGACTCGGAGACATATGACGATTGGGGAGTGAGAAGGGATATTTGACACGAGCCATATTGTGCGAGCAAGTCAGCCAAAGCTCCATTTGACATCTGAGACGTAGACCTACCTGGCAGTGAACTCTGGGGCGAATGACCGGATAGAGGACGCGCCGCCAGCAGGGTCTTGGCCGGAGGACGCGCCTCCTGCAGGATCTGGGCCGGAGGACGCACCGCCAGGAGGGTCGGCGACGGAGGACGCACCACTAGCAGGGTTGGCGTCGGAGGACTGTACGGAGGACTCGCCGCCAGCAGGGTCTGGACCGGAGGACTGGACGGAGGACTCGCCGCCAGCAGGGTCGGCGTCGGAGGACGCACCGCCAGCAGGCTCTGGACCGGAGGACTCGCCGCCAGCAGGGTCGGCGTCGGAGGACCGGACAGTCGTTCTGAGGATACAGGGACGACTTAATCACAAGGACGCATTTAGCGGAATATTGTACAGACTCAGAGACATATGACGATTGGGGAGTGAGAAGTGATGTTTGACACGAGCCATATTGTGCGAGCACTATTTGATATTTAAGGAAGGACATATAATGACTTCGGAACCAATAGGAAGGGACCTGACTTCGTTATTCTCTACATAGGTTTGGTTCGTTACACACCGGTCACTTCTTGCCAGCATAGGTATGCAGCAGATAGTCTCCCCTACACAGCAGAAACCTTAATTGAATTCAGAAAGAAGACAACTAGGTATTGCAACGATGAGTTACCAAGTCAGTCAAAGTTAAATTTCGCATCTGAGACGTAGACCTACCTGGCAGTGAAGAAGTCGGAGACCTTCGGAATCTTTGATAAAAAGCCGACTTCTCTTTCTGCCGCTTTCTCTTCTGAGCACCAGAAAGATGTACACGAGGCATACCTACCGTCTAATGTGTAGCTACAAGGGAATAAGAGGGCTTTCTGAAAAAAAAATATTGTCAGGTCAGAATGTACTCAACTATTCTTAAAGGGACCCTCCCACTTTCGAAAATGTTAAACCATTTGAATTGTGCCCGACTTTAAAGATTGGATAACCAGGAACACGGTTCTTGGCCCAGCGGCCTACATTTCAAACTTTAGATAGAGTTTTCATGGTTCAGAGGAAGTTGAAATTTCTCCTATTGACTTATAATTGGTCGTGAGATTGACCTGACCTCAGGTAGGTCACAGAGATAATAAGTCCGAGATACATGTTTTGTAGATACTATCATCCTCACTAACTCCTGAAAGTTTCATATCGATCGCTCAACAGTTGTAGCTTTGGTGCAAGTTCAAACTTATTGTGAGGTTGGGTCACTCAAACTTACCTGGTGACCTGACCTTAGGTCACATAGAGTCAAAATTTTCACACGCTGTGCGCAAAAGCTTGGAGAACAAGTAGGTATACAAAATTTGGTGACGCTGCACGCCGCCGTTTTCCCGCTATCTACGAAAAACATGGCTGGAGAAACCAGGGAGGACAGGAGGGGACCTTCCCCTCCGGGCCCAATGATTTCAATTTCCTGGAGGGGACCTGGAGAGACCCAACTTATAATGAAATGGGCCCTTTTCTTCTGAAATGTGTGATTTAGTGTGATTTTTTAAAAGGTAGTATGATTTTTGGGCCCTTTCAGACACTAGGGCCCTTTTTCTCGAGGGCCCCAAAAGCCGCCCCCCTCCTCCAGCTCTGCAATCGTTTCGCCGAAAAACCTGGGGGGCGTAAAACCGCCCCCCGGCCCGGCGCGGGTTAAATACAGGTTTATGGGCGTTGTATGGACAGAATGACTTAGTAGTGACATCCCCCAGGCAAAACTTTTCGCCGCCAGTGTTAGCATTGGCATATCAATATTCGGCGGTACTGCAGGTCCCATTGCCGCATCCAAAAGTGAATCCTATTGGTACCCCAGGGTAATCCACCAAAAAAGGTATCCCTAATTGATGAAGTCAACTGTTCCCATCACCCCAGCACAAGGCCATATAGGCATATATATGTAAACACCCAAGCCACAGTTACCTAGGTACCTACCTCAGTTTCACCTTGTCAATTCCATTCTGGGAAAACGTGTTTTGATTGTGGATAACGGGCACCTATAGTTCATTCGTCATCTAAGCAATAGGTGCAATTTCAGGGAATTGTTATTAAAAACCATTGTCATTTACCTAAAATCACCACCAATCGCCACCAAGCGAAACAAAATCGATTTGTTTACAACAAGCCATATAGACTAGAGGTTTACATGCGATGCCAGTGGTGGATTGTTTACGTAGCAGAAAATTTTTGCGCGCGAATATCAAGGCGGATTAAAAAAAAACTTGTCGAGTAGAGAGAAGACCATAATTCAGGGTATAGCCATAATCCACAATTTTTGCTTTGTAAGGTCATTTTTACATTTAACTGGAAGTAGGTTAGCTCTTCAAATAATTTAGGATAAGACATAAAACAATGCTGGATGACACCCTGGCTGGACGTCCTGAATAGAGCTGCAATTTTTTTTTTAAAAATGATTACCGGCCAAAGCCCTAACAAATATCGGCACCGCGCCGCAGCACCACCAGAAAAAACACGGTGGCTAAAGATAAGAAAACATAAGCTGACAGAACGGCACATTATCACGGTTGCGGGTTGGACTACCAAGCAATGCCGGCATATAACGGGCACGCGGCAGGAAAATTGACAAATATGTTTCTTAGAACCAGCACCTAACTTACCGGCCGGCATGAATAGATTCATTACCACAATACTATCGGCAGTAATGAGAAAATACTAGCATGCTGGAACTGAAGGAGATGACTTCTTGTTCGCCTCCGGGCAGTCTCAGTCTCTTTTCGAGAAGAAGGCCTCATGTGTACGGGAGGAAGCCCCTCTTTGTGCGCAAGATGCAAGCCTTCTGACTGTGCGGGTTAAGTTCCTCCGTGCACGGAGGAGGCCTCAGTGCAGGGAGAGAGGATGCCCTTTGTGCGGATGCGAGTGGAGGCCCTTTGTGCAGGTTACGAGGCCCTCTGCGTTGGCTAGTACACCTTCTGGGCAGGCTAGGAAGCCCTCTGTATGCGTGAGGAAGCCCTCTGTGTTGGCTAGGAGGCCCTTTGTGCACGCTAGGAGGCCCTCTTTGTGAGCTAGGAGGCCCTCTGTGCAGGCTAAGAAGTCCTGTGTGTTAGATAGGAGGCCCTGTGTTGGCTAGGAGGCCCTGTGTTGGCTAGGAGGCCCTCTGTGCAGGCTTGGAGGCCCTCTGTGCAGGCTTGAAGACCCTCTGTGCAGGTTAGGAGGTCATCCGTGTTGGCTAGGAGGCCCTCTCTGCAAGCTAGGATGCCCTCTGTGCTGGCTAGCAGGGCACTAAAGAGTCGGGTACTCCAAAGTTTTTCCTAGTATATACTAGAATTATACTATATCATCTAGAAAAACAGCTAGAACTGGGAGCTTTTTACTATATACCGAAAATTATCCTAGGATATGGCTGCGCTGAAGCGCGGCGCAGCTGGCGCTCGTGTTTCAATACATTGCGCTTCATATTTATACACAAGGCGGCCTGTGGTTTCACGCGGTTCCATGGTGTTCTCCCTACATTTAAATACTTACAAATTGTGCTGGCTAAGTATTTAATAACTATCGTGTGCATTAAAAAATTGGTTCTTCATTATGCATGGAATTGTGTGAACAAAGGCCTTTCTGAGTAACTGTGTACAAATTTGCAAACTGCTGTCCTTGACTGGGTGGTGGCCGGTGGGCCAGCCTCATCACTGTTGCGTAGCAATGTGTTAAAAAAGAAGTTTCAAGGAATTTTATCAATTGTAATGCATGGCGACACCTTTCGACTTATTGTGAGCATATTTGGTATAATCGTATTGCAAAGATAGCGAACACCGGCTTTATCTATTTGCAATGGCAGCTTTCGTACGACATTTGTGTATTGTCTTTTCTATGTTGGTCGCTACTCGTTTGTATGTATTTTTAGAGCCCTGACAGGCTGATGAAGGATGACTAAAGTCTTCTGAAAGCTATCATTACTAAGAAATGAAGCTGGTGTTATGAACAGTGAACAGTGTCCCAAAATTTTATTTCAGAGTGAAAAATTGTTCTTGAAAATTGGAGATGAAAGTGGAAAATTGATTTCAGTTGGATGTCACTTCCCACCCAAAACTGGCAAATTTTGGGACATTGGTTTTGAACAAACTTAACAATACAATACCACTGTCCCAGGCTCCAGCTGAATAACATCAACATATAACATAATACTTTGGGTAAACATCTCGTACAACTGTGTTGCTGTGATAATGAAATCAAAACACATGTGCATCCTGCATCCATGAAAGTGGATAGTAAGTAGAAAGAAGCATTTGTTGCCACATGTTAGTGATAATTGTGCAATTTCTTGGTATTTTAAGTTTGTATGAAAACGCGTAAGATTTAGGTGATTGAAACTAAACATGGAAGATAATTTTTAGGTCAATTTTTACTTTTTCTTTTTTAATGCTGTTCTTGATATTCCACTTCACTCAAAACACACCAGTTCATAAGTTATTTCAGGGCTTTCGCAATAGCCATGTCTTTGTGGTCAATCATCCTCAGAGCAGCCTGAGTCAATTCCATTCACGACTTCCTTAGCCATATATCTCTGATCCTTTTTCAGGACAAGACATGCACTACTACATATGCTGTGCCTGGCTCAAGATTCCCATATGTAGCAAGGTTGCCCTACCGACACTGGCAAAATGAATGCTTCCTTGAACAAAGCTAACCAAAGGTGCCATCAACTGTCTTAATCTGAACAGGAAGGAAGCCTAGTTTTCAACATAGACAATGTGACTTTCAGGGTGTGCACCACCCGGTGTTCATTTGTTAACATCAATAATGTGTGACCACGAAAGGAAACCCTTCTGAAGGTAACATCTCTCGACCATTCTAAGATCCTGTCCACTACCTTAACCCTCGCACCGACGGGGGGGGGGGGCGGATATCCGCCCCCCCCCCCTGAGGTTTTTCGCGAATAGCGGGAAAACCGCGGCGGCGGAAATTTGGTATGACTATAACTTCATCAATTTTACACATGGTGTGCAAGTTTGAATCTCCTACCTTTTAAGGTCAGGTCACCAGGTCACTTTGAATGACCCAACCTCAAGTCACTTTTTTGCAACTTTGTCACCGTGCCAGAGCTACAGTAGATGTCGGAGGCCTTTGAAAGTCGCAGGATATTATTAGGTCATTAGAAGCTACAATTTGTATATCTCGGAATTTTGATATCGGTGACCTAAGGTCAGGTCAATTTCGCGACCTCCCCATTATAAGTCAATGGGGGAAAAATCAACTCCCTGTTTTTACCACTAAAACGGGTCGGAATGGCCCCATATACCATACATGACTTCATATACGATCAACCTTCACTACCTTGAGGTCTGTTTTGCTGTTGGGCAGCTGTGAGGTCATGTGACGTCATCAAAGGTCACCAAAGGTTTTTGGCCAATAACTCCGTACAGGAACAAGATACAGACGCGTGGATGATCTCATTGTGTTCAGCTCGTCAATCCACATCGAATGATATACATGATGACCTCGAGGTCACGTGACCTGAGGTCAACCTTTGACCTTGACCTTTCGAGGTCAACATATATATCATTCGATGCGGATTGACGAGAGGATCACGATGATGCCCTTAGGTTGTTCCTATCTTGACTAATTCGAAAGTTATTCGAGAATGTCGGAAAAACTCTCTCCATATCTAGCGCCGCCATTTTGACTTTTTCGACCCCTGTGACGTCATCTTTGACCTGACCTGAAAATGACCTCAGTAAAAATTGTAGATCTTGGCCGTGCGTATCCGATGCCGTTTACCGCTTGTCGCTATCTTGCTTCGTTCTCGAGATCTCAGGGGGGGCGGTCATCCGCCCCCCCCCCCGTCGGTGCGAAGTTGGCGCAGACCCCCGTCGGTGCGCGGGTTAATATTAACAGGTCTTTTAAATAACCATGCATTATTCCTCTGATAATGCTTGTTATGTTTTCAAATAGGTTCATGTTCTTTCATCCTGATTTTTCAAAGATAAGTATCACTTTGAGTTTATTTTTATTGCAAGTGTGATGCATGTAATTTCATCTTCATGTTTTCTCAGATCGAAGATCTTGCTCGCAGCTATGCCTCATTGCCTACCATGGCCAAAACCTCTTTGAGGTTTACTGTAGGTAGTGTTCTCCGTCTTATTGTTGTGTGTTGAGGATGAGCTGAATGTTACTGATATTGATACCTGATATCTAATTGTGGTCAATGTTTAGTGTAACACCGTGACATCTTCCAATGCCAAAGTTTATTTCCAACGAGCCAAAGCTTGTTTGCATTGCAATTACGAGCGGTAGTGTGATGTGTGGAACGTGTAGTATGTACGATTGGGAACCACTTACTCTGGTGGCATGTTTGCATATATGAGAATGTTAAGTGTTCATCGTCTTTAGATAATAAAAGCATTTGCATATCAGGAAGTGGATTGTTCGGTGGTCGCCTAAAATGGTATCAGAGCTGCAATTTTGACACCATCGTGTTCGTCATGCTCAGCCACGTCGAGTGATATGCTTTTTGTATGGGTGAGGTCAATTTAGGATGTTGACCTCCGTCCAAGGTCAGGTCAGGTCATTACCTCATGATGAGGTCAAGTTGCACGTTATTCAATTTGGCAGGTCTTTCTGAGTCTATTTGTGTCTTTTCCGTCTAAGATCACTGTCAGCGCCAAAATAACTGTCTCTATATCCCCCCCCCCCCCACCATCGGCTTATAATGGCCAGATCACCTGACCGACCTGACGTTAGGTGACCCTTAGGAGAAATCCGAAGTTAACGACTTTTGAGAATAAGGGAGTTTGATAAGTTCTGTAAGTTTCATCTACCTGTGATAGATCTCCTTGAATTGATGGAGTTGCTATGTTACGACGTTTTTGAGACCGTGCAGAGGTTCACTTATGACGTCATAGGTCAGTGACCTGACCAGACCTGAAAATGAGGTTGGTGTCACAAAATCCGGCTTGAATCAAAGGTCAGGTATGCCAACTTACAACCCTCCATCACCAGCGCACTCACCCCTACTTTACTTTGCAGCAATGGTTTGCCGCACATTAACGATAAAAGTTTTGGTCTGTCCGAGATTCGAACACAGGACCTTCCGATGTATCAAAAACATGGGGTCATATATTGACGAATATCTCGAAAACGGTTGGATGGGCTTGAACTTTTCATCCCAAAAATGGAAATAAAAATGTTGTAGCTATCTTTTGACATACTTTGTATGTGGAATTGGATGCCCACACTACGAAACCTTGAAAACCGAGCGCGAAAAGTCGCATTTTAACACGCAACCCTATGGGCTAGTAGGAAAAGTCACGCCCATGCTGCCATATGACTTTGGAGGGGGCTGCTGGCTAGGAGGCCCTCTGTGCTGGCTAGGAGGCCCACTGTGTGGGCTAGGAGGCCCTCTGGGCAGGGTATGAGGCCCTGTATGTGAGCTAGAAAGCCATCTGTGTTGGCTAGGAGGCCCTCTGTGCAGATGCGAGTGGAGGCCCTCAATACAGGCTTCGAGGCCCTTTGTGTGGATGCGAATGGAGGCCCTCTGTGCAGACATAGAGGTCCTGTGTTGGCTAGGATGATTTGGATTTAAGGGTGCGTCAACTACTAGGTTATTTTGCGCCTGTGTTGGCTAGGAGGACATCTGTGCAGGCTTGGAGGCCCTCGGTGCAAGGTAGGAGACCCTCTGTGCAGGT